GGAACGATTCAGCTATCCAATGTGGTAATCAGACAGTTGCACTTACTTCACAGCTCGCTTCGTTGTCTAGTGAAAATGACTTCGGTTTTTTGCTCGGCACAGCAGTTGCCAGCATACACTGCTGTCACTAACGTCGGGCCTTGTGCACCAACTGTTTTCAGAACCACTCGGCTACCCAGCGTGTTGAACGGACCTTTGCACTTGCCCCTCGTCTTGCCCTATATTGCACATTGTTAATTGCTTGCCCACCTTTTTCTCAAAACAGTCACCACGACACACTGCTGCCACTGACATTGGGCCAAAGCCGCCAACTGGTTCGGGAAGCACTCGGCAACCTAGCATGGTGAGCAGACAGTTGCACTAACTTGTCAGCTCACTCTTTGTTGTCCAGTGAAAATGACTTTTCGGTTTTCTCTCTGCACAGCAGCCCCCAGCAACCGTTGCTGCCGCAGATGTTGGTCCCCCCTCGCCGACGGTCACGATCGTGCAAGGGCCCGCGAGGCTACCGAACACGGTGAGCAGACATTTGCACTAACTTGTCAGCCCACTCTTTGTTGTCCAGTGAAAATGACTTTTCGGTTTTTTCTTGGCACAGGAGCCCCCAGCGACCGATGCTGCTGCAGACGTTGGCCCCCCTTCCCCGACGTTCACAACTGTGAAAGGGTCCGCGAGGCTACTGAACACGGTGAGCAGACAGTTGTGCTTGCTGGTCAGCTCGCTCTTTGTTTTATAGTGAAAATGACTTTTCGGTTTCCTCTTGGCACAGCAGCCCCCAGCGACCGCTGCTGTTGCAGACGTTCGTCCCCCCTCGCCGACGGTCACAATCGTGCAAGGGTCCGCGAGGCTACCGAACACGGTGAGCAGACAGCTGTGCTTGCTGGTCAGCTCGCTCTTTGTTTTCTAGTGAAAATGACTTTTCGGTTTCCTCTTCGCACAGCAGCCCCCAGCGACTGCTGCTGTTGCAGACGTTGGTCCCCCCTCGCTGACGGTCACAATCGTGCAAGGGTCAGCGAGGCTACCGGACACGGTGAGCAGACAGTTGCGCTTGCTGGTCAGCTCGCTCTTTGTTGTTTCATGAAAATGACCTTTCGGTTTTCTCTCTGCACAGGAGCCCCCAGCGACCGCTGCTGCCGCAAAAGTTAGGCCCCAGTTGCTTACAGTCACGATTGTGGGAGGATCCAACAGGCCACCCAGCATGGTGAGCAGACAGTTGCACTAACTTGTCAGCTCACTCTTTGTTGTCCAGTGAAAATGACTTTTCGGTTTTTTCTCTGCACAGCAGCCCCCAGCAACCGCTGCTGCCGCAGACGTTGGTCCCCCCTCGCCAACGGTCACGATCGTGCAAGGGTCCGCAAGGCTACCGAACACGGTGGGCAGACAGTGGCGCTTGCTGGTCAGCTCCCTCTTTGTTGTCTCATGACAATGACTTTTTTGTTTTGTCCCTGCACAGCAGCCCCCAGCAACTACTGCTGCCGCAGACGTTGGTCCCCCCTCGCCGATGGTCACGATCGTGCAAGGGTCCGTCCGCAAGGCTACCGAACACGGTGGGCAGATAGTTGCGCTTGCTGGTCAGCTCCCTCTTTGTTGTCTTATGAAAATGACTTTTTTTGTTTCCTCCCTGCACAGCAGCCCCCAGCGACCGCTGCTGCTGGAGACGTTGGCCCCCCTTCGCCGACGTTCACGACTGTGAAAGGATCCACGAGGCTACTGAACACGGTGAGCAGACAGTTGCGCTTGCTGGTCAGCTCCCTCTTTGTTGTCTTATGAAAATGACTTTTCGGTTTTCTCTCTGCACAGGAGCCCCCTGCGACCGCTGCTGCCGCAAAAGTTAGGCCCCAGTTGCTTACAGTCACGATTGTGGGAGGATCCAACAGGCCACCCAGCATGGTGAGCAGACAGTTGTGCTTGCTGGTCAGCTCGCTCTTTGTTTTCTAGTGAAAATGACTTTTCGGTTTCCTCTTGGCACAGCAGCCCCCAGCGACCGCTGCTGTTGCAGACGTTGGCCCCCCTTCGCCGACATTCACAACTGTGAAAGGGTCCGCGAGGCTACTGAACACGGTGAGCAGACAGTTGCGCTTGCTGGTCAGCTCCCTCTTTGTTGTCTTATGAAAATGACTTTTCGGTTTTCTCTCTGCACAGGAGCCCCCAGCGACCGCTGCTGCCGCAAAAGTTAGGCCCCAGTTGCTTACAGTCACGATTGTGGGAGGATCCAACAGGCCACCCAGCATGGTGAGCAGACAGTTGTGCTTGCTGGTCAGCTCGCTCTTTGTTTTCTAGTGAAAATGACTTTTCGGTTTCCTCTTGGCACAGCAGCCCCCAGCGACCGCTGCTGTTGCAGACGTTGGCCCCCCTTCGCCGACATTCACAACTGTGAAAGGATCCACGAGGCTACTGAACACGGTGAGCAGACAGTTGCGCTTGCTGGTCAGCTCCCTCTTTGTTGTCTTATGAAAATGACTTTTCGGTTTTCTCTCTGCACAGGAGCCCCCAGCGACCGCTGCTGCCGCAAAAGTTAGGCCCCAGTTGCTTACAGTCACGATTGTGGGAGGATCCAACAGGCCACCCAGCATGGTGAGCAGACAGTTGTGCTTGCTGGTCAGCTCGCTCTTTGTTTTCTAGTGAAAATGACTTTTCGGTTTCCTCTTGGCACAGCAGCCCCCAGCGACCGCTGCTGTTGCAGACGTTGGCCCCCCTTCGCCGACATTCACAACTGTGAAAGGGTCCGCGAGGCTACCGAACACGGTGAGCAGACAGTTGTGCTTGCTGGTCAGCTCGCTCTTTGTTTTCTAGTGAAAATGCCTTTTCGATTTCCTCTTGGCACAGCAGCCCCCAGCGACCGCTGCTGTTGCAGACGTTGGCCCCCCTTCGCCGACATTCACCACTGTGAAAGGGTCCGCGACGCTACCGAACACGGTGAGCAGACAGTTGTGCTTGCTGGTCAGCTCGCTCTTTGTTTTCTAGTGAAAATGCCTTTTCGATTTCCTCTTGGCACAGCAGCCCCCAGCGACCGCTGCTGTTGCAGACGTTGGCCCCCCTTCGCCGACATTCACAACTGTGAAAGGGTCCGCGAGGCTACCGAACACGGTGAGCAGACAGTTGTGCTTGCTGATCAGCTCGCTCTTTGTTTTCTAGTGAAAATGACTTTTCGGTTTCCTCTTGGCACAGCAGCCCCCAGCGACCGCTGCTGTTGCAGACGTTGGCCCCCCTTCGCCGATATTCACAACTGTGAAAGGGTCCGCGAGGCTACTGAACACGGTGAGCAGACAGTTGTGCTTGCTGGTCAGCTCGCTCTTTGTTTTCTAGTGAAAATGACTTTTCGGTTTCCTCTTGGCACAGCAGCCCCCAGCGACCGCTGCTGTTGCAGACGTTGGCCCCCCTTCGCCGACATTCACAACTGTGAAAGGGTCCGCGAGGCTACCGAACACGGTGAGCAGACAGTTGTGCTTGCTGGTCAGCTTGCTCTTTGTTTTCTAGTGAAAATGTCTTTTCGGTTTCCTCTTGGCACAGCAGCCCCCAGCGACCGCTGCTGTTGCAGACGTTGGCCCCCCTTCGCCGACATTCACAACTGTGAAAGGGTCCGCGAGGCTACCGAACACGGTGAGCAGACAGTTGTGCTTGCTGGTCAGCTCGCTCTTTGTTTTCTAGTGAAAATGACTTTTCGATTTCCTCTTGGCACAGCAGCCCCCAGCGACCGCTGCTGTTGCAGACGTTGGCCCCCCTTCGCCGACATTCACAACTGTGAAAGGGTCCGCGAGGCTACCGAACACGGTGAGCAGACAGTTGTGCTTGCTGGTCAGCTCGCTCTTTGTTTTCTAGTGAAAATGACTTTTCGAGTTCCTCTTGGCACAGCAGCCCCCAGCGACCGCTGCTGTTGCAGACGTTGGCCCCCCTTCGCCGACATTCACAACTGTGAAAGGGTCCGCGAGGCTACCGAACACGGTGAGCAGACAGTTGTGCTTGCTGGTCAGCTCGCTCTTTGTTTTCTAGTGAAAATGACTTTTCGATTTCCTCTTGGCACAGCAGCCCCCAGCGACCGCTGCTGTTGCAGACGTTGGCCCCCCTTCGCCGACATTCACAACTGTGAAAGGGTCCGCGAGGCTACCGAACACGGTGAGCAGACAGTTGTGCTTGCCGGTCAGCTCGCTCTTTGTTTTCTAGTGAAAATGACTTTTCGGTTTCCTCTTGGCACAGCAGCCCCCAGCGACCGCTGCTGTTGCAGACGTTGGCCCCCCTTCGCCGATATTCACAACTGTGAAAGGGTCCGCGAGGCTACTGAACACGGTGAGCAGACAGTTGTGCTTGCTGGTCAGCTCGCTCTTTGTTTTCTAGTGAAAATGACTTTTCGGTTTCCTCTTGGCACAGCAGCCCCCAGCGACCGCTGCTGTTGCAGACGTTGGCCCCCCTTCGCCGACATTCACAACTGTGAAAGGGTCCGCGAGGCTACCGAACACGGTGAGCAGACAGTTGCGCTTGCTGGTCAGCTCGCTCTTTGTTGTCTAGTGAAAATGACTTTTCGGTTTTCTCTTGGCACAGGAGCCCCCAGCGACCGCTGCTGCCGGAAATGTTGGGCCCCAGTTGCTTACAGGCACGATTGTGGGAGGATCCAACAGGCCACCCAGCATGGTGAGCAGACAGTTGCACTAACTTGTCAGCTCGCTGTTTGTTGTCTAGTGAAAATGACTTTTCGGTTTCCTCTCTGCACACCTGCCCCCAGCGACCGCTGCTGCCACAGAGGCCGCTCGCTGGGGCTGTGTGTACATGCCCAACCGGTTTTATGTGTATCGGAATATCTGTACATGCCCAACTTGGTTTTAAGGAACTCAGCACTGAGGCAACAACATGAGTTGGGTACTGCTCTTTGTAAATATTGTCATGTGCAGTCTTCACTTTCCACTTTCCAGGTAACAACGAAGAGCCAGGGGACCCAGTGGGAGGTTCTTGAAGTTGCCGATCACAACTACTGCACGAAAGGGTCCTCAAAAGCTGCAGTTTGGTTGACAATGTCCAGTGATGACATTGAGTTCTACACCGGAGTATCAAGGGCTGTGTTTCTGTCTCTAGCTGAGATGGTGTCCATGATGACCACAGCAGAATCACGCATCCCTCTAAATGATCAGCTTCTTCTTACTCTGATGAGACTACGTCTGGGCCTTCTCTACGGTGACCTTGCCCGGAGATTTAACGTATCAGTAAGCCGCATTTGTGCCATCATCAAGAAGATGCTGGAAATCCTGAAAAGGATTATGGAGTATGTTGTTATCTGGCTCCCACGATCACGCATACAGAGCAGCATGCCAGCCTCTTTTCTGGAGAATGGGTATGCCAAGACCACTTGTATTTTTGATTGCACCGAGGTGACCTTGCAAAGGCCAAAGAAGTTAATGGCCCGTGCTCAAACATACAGTGCTTATAAAGCAGCAAATACTGTTAAATGTCTGACTGTAATTGCACCTAATGGGCAGATAATGTTTGTTTCTGATGTCTTTGGAGGGAGAGCCTCAGATAAGTACATTGTCCGGACCTGTGGCGTTGAAGACTACCTCCAGAAAGGGGACGAGATCATGGCCGACCGAGGCTTTACGCTGGAACCCCACTTGGAAGCGCGAGGAATCAGGATGACCATGCCTGCATTTACAAGAGGTGAGGTTATTGCATGACGTGGCTGTTTATAAAAGGCTTGTGTTTGCATGTCATGTTTAAAATATTGCGAATATTCAAGGAGGATTGGTGGCCGAGTGGGCTAAAGCGCACACTCAGCTCGACGCGCATGGAGCGAAAGCTCGCGCTGCAGAACCCAGGGATCCTGGGTTCGTGCCCCTCCCCCGCCCGTTTCGATCTGGATGAGCATCGTACCGGCATGCGGTTGTGTATCACTACTGCGTGTGCACGTCAAAGACCCCAGGCTAGCATTCATACTGCACTGGTAAAATCGCCCATCTACAGTGTAAACCAGTGTCGCCCCATCCTGGCAGACCGACCTTAGGCTGTATAAATCACTAAAACATCCAATATGACTTTTTTTTGGTGAATATTCAATTACTACAGACATCTCTATTTGAGCAGTTTCCCAACTGGCCCATAGAGGGTACTAGCGCTATAGTTGTGATTACGTGGCTTCATTTCAGTTGGTTTTGGTCTGAGCAGTCTCACGGCTGTGTGAGGGTTTTATGTCGTTTTTGCTTATTTAATTATAATTCTTGCTTTTCAGCAAAAAATCAAGAAAACTGGTAGAATGCCACTTCAATACTTGTTAAGTGGTTCTGTGCCTAAATGGTGCATTGTTTTGACATAGCTCATGGCACACGTGGTCAAACTTGTCATTTGGTGATGAGGTCTGATGGAACAGGAGGACAACAAGCATGTTCAGCCATGTTTGCAAACACTAACTTCCACAATAAAAAAGTTGGAAAAATTAATGGACTCACCCATAATCAAAATACCGGTTGAAAACATAGTGAAAAAGTAATGTGCTTAATCGTGAACAACATTTTAACTCGCAAGTTTAGTGTGCACTGTCTGCTGTTTAGGAGCACCAATTTTATTTGAAGTTTGTTGGCTAGAATAGTTTGATATGTACATAGCGAATCTAAAGAGGAACAATTTTTTTATTGGCCTGTATTTTTTTGAGAAATATGGTATCCAAAAATGTTTCCATGGTCCGTCGCAGGTATACTAACTAACTGCACATATACTAACTAAGCGTTGTTCACACCGTCGACCTCTGGAAATAAAACATTCTGTCTAACATGCTCTTGATATGGGGTAAGTGGAAAAAAATGTCGAACTTCTGTCTTCCGTGCATTTTTCGCAAAAAAATGATGAAGTGCACAAGAAAAAAAACAAAAAAAAAACCAAAAAACAAGGCATCTTTAGCTGAGGTTGGTTGAATTTCTGGCACCCTTTTCATAAACCTGTATGGGCAGGCATTTACTTGTTTGAACAGATCAGCTTGCTACATAATGCGGCACTCTTAAGGCGAACAAGAGATTGCTGTCTTTCCCTGCTGCTAATGAGGTGTAAATTGTTCATAAGGGGCACTAACCTGAGTAGTAAAATTTTATTTCCTCCAACCCTTGCTACATAACATGCAAAAGAGCGCCTATACGTGCAAGCAATGTCGCGCAGTGTTTAATTTCAACCATCATTTTGTCGGGCCAGGCTGTTGAAGACAAATTTCTATCCGACCTCGACAATGCCAGACACAAATGAATAAGTTTTTCGTTTTTTTTTTCGGCATCACACATTGTCGGTGTTGGTTGGAGAATCATTAAAGCGATTGACTTCAATGGTTTTTTTTATTTGAAAACAGAAAATTGATAAAAAAAAAGTTTATATAGTGAGAACAAAAATGTAACTTATTCAGTGGTATTGTTATAAACAAACAAATCGCATGATCCTGATGTTACAGTTGTTTAAAAGCATTATCCTGTCTCTATGTTTTTCCTCCCTTGTCTTTGCGCTAATTTTAACAAGATGTTCCTGTGCAAAGTTGCACGCCCGGTAGGCCGGTTCTGAAAATGGTCCAAACATTGTACAAAGTTACCCGTAAGGGTTGTGCAAGTAGGAATGGAAAGCAGATTAAGAAGCCAAAATAGGCATGTGACGATAATTGACAGAGTCAGTTGAGAAATGTAGTGAAAACAGATGCAAAAACACGAATACTAATGCATTTGCCAAGGTGGGACGAGGCGAGCAAAGCGATCAGTGAAGCTACCTTATGGCGGTTGTGTCCCATGATTCCATAGTGCGAAGCGCATATGCTACGGCGAATAAGAAGGTCTGTAGAAACATCTATCGCAGGGAAGGTTTTAAAGAACATTTTACTCTGTTGCAGTAATGGTTTTGTGATGTGTTAAATCTTAAAGGGACACTGACAGGGTATTTATGCTCGCCGAGGTTTTTAGTTGTACGTGACATATGAGAGCTCAACTACCCAGAACAGAATTTGCGGCTCGAAATTCGGTTTCTTTCCGCCCGAAAACCGCCGATCAAGAATTGGCCGGTTCGAGTCTCGCTCACTCTCTTTTTCCCGGTCACGGGCCGTCTTCTAAGGTATCGATGCGACCACCAAATTTAATCAAAGTCGTGGGTCACTGAAGGCACACACTCAATATTAAAAATAGAAAAAAATATGAAACCCATTTTTTGTGGCTTCTAAAAAGCTGTAATTACGTTGATTGAAAAAAAAAAGTTCCACAGACAACCGGAAGCATTCTGTGCGTTCGTCGTTCCGCGTATCGTGGGACTCGCGGGGACGGCGATGGCAGCGTACGACGGGCGTGGGACCTCTATTTCAGAACTGTCGTTCGCGGTACCGGCGAATTCTGTCTACCGTTAAAAGAGAAATTTGGGACTGATCAAAAGAATTGGTATTCATGCCGTACGACACGCCCGGCCACCAAGCCGATTTGCACGAAGACGTCGCCGAGCCGTCGCTCCCTTCTCGTGGCTGAAGACAACGCTCGCTCAAACGTCAAGCACGACGTGTCTACTTCGAGTTGAATATGCACGCGTACGATTTCTTTACTAGGTGCGAATGTCCCCAAAGCGTGGTGCTTCCCGACTTCGACCCGGGAGTGCTTTTGCTAGAGAAAAATCGACAGCAAACTTTCCAACTTACAGTTTACCGGCTGAATTATTACTAAAGAAAGAGATCCACCAAAAACGATATGACCCAGTAGCTCAGTGGGAAAGACGTCCGCTTCACACGCGGTAGGACCGGGTTCGATCCCCCGTGAATTCTTTTTTTTTTCAAACATTTTCTGATGTTTACATATCTTTTTCTTTTTTTTTTTACAATCATCACTGAAGAAACGAACAAAAAATAACAAACAAATGTTGTGGACGATACTTCGCTGAATTAAACGGTATGGGATTTCCGTTTTGACACCTGCGAACTCAATGTAATCACTTTCCACAAAATGCAAGGAGCATATAAATCAGGTAGCGTCCGCTTTCCGAGGTGCCCGTAAATGTTCTACAGGAATTGCAGCCAGCCATTGGTCCCGATCCCGTTGATCTTTCGGAAACTGTCGCACAATGCCACTTTTTTTCGGAAGCAGGACATGTGAGCCAGCTCTTCACGCAACATCTTGGGTTTATTCTTTTCGGAGCCGATCATGGAAATTCACCACGGCACTCACTACTCATCTCAAACTCCTCATCTCGAACTCCTCAATGTACAAAACAACTCATCTTGGAGTACAGAACAACGAGCGGAACAAACATAACTGCAAAAGAATCGCACGGCAAGCAGTTCCCGCACGCCGCATCGCACGCCGCATGTCGTGTCGTCTGCTAGCGGAGAGGAGAAAAAAAACCAAAAAAAAAAAAACCGCACGGTCGGGTGTAGCCACGTGACTTCCGCCAGTTGCTCTCTTCTCTCTACTTCTCCGACCTCCGTCGGGTTTCGGTTTCGGTTTCGAGCAGTTGCGTCTTTTGGCTTTATTAAAGAAATACGCTACTCTGTTGCAAAATATTAATTGGGTAGTCCTCCGACACCATAATAAAGCGCCTGGCAAAAAATAAAAAAAAAAATGTTTGGGGGGTGTCAGTGTCCCTTTAAGGGGAATGAGCAGCTTTATGTCTCAACCAAGCTATTTTCTTTTTGTGAACAGTGCATCCTCGAAGTGGTCATCATTAGGCTCGTCTGTTTCTCATGTGCAGCCTGGCACTTCTGCGAGTGGAAACTTCCAAGTGTATCATTGAAACTGGTGCATAAACAGTATTTTTTCTTCGTCTCATTCTGGTGCTTCAGCAAAGGCATTGCTTGAGCATGTCTCTCTGTGAGAAGCATGGCACAATTTCCTTGGAGGATTAAGATGTATTAAATTTAATGAGTAGAGACTAAATGAAACACTTAGTTTTTAGTCCTGCAGAAACCTGAAGACATTAAGGCTGCCCATGGGGTTGACCATGTGGCCCACCTACGTAAAGCGTAAAGTGAGACCGACACATTCTGTAACCCAATTTCTATATGACGCACATTAGTCGGTGATTCACTCTACGATACCTAGAATTGAAAGAACATAAAACACAAAGGATGTGTGTGGACAACCACACTTTGCCTAGGGCTTCGTGGTTTTGGATAAGCCTTTCATTGCATGGCTAGACAAAATTGGTGGTGGACTCTCTTCAATTGGTGGTTTGCTCGCTTGACATACCTTGCATGTATGAAAGGAGTGTGGCATACTTTCTTGTGGGCTTAGTAACTTGAATGTTGCTTTTTCTTTCTTCAGGAAAGCCCCAGCTGTCAGAATCTGAGGTAACGAAGACTCGACGGATTGCATCAGTGAGGATCCATGTTGAAAGAGCCATTAATCGCATCAAAAGCTATCGCATTTTTAAGTCTGCTCTTTGCATAACGTCTCGTCGAGCGATAAGTGACATGGTTTTTGTGTGTGCTGGTTTGTGTAACCTGAAAGGACCACTCATCGCAGAACAAACTGATGCAGTCTAATGCAATATCATATAATGCTGCCACCGCACTGGACGCCCGTGCCGTTTGTTCTGCAGACCGCTGACCGTGTTTCGGGAGCTGAATGTGGTTAACTTTGTCGAGGCACGACCCACCAGGCATTGTTCCCCGATCCGGCCGCCCTGGCCTCTGTAGCTTTTCAGAGTCCGTCATATCAGCCCCTCATATCAACTTAAGGGGCTGGTATGACGGATTCTGAAAAGCTACAAATCCCAGGGTGGCCGGATTGGAGAATAATGCCTGGCGGGTCGTGCCTCGGCAAAGTTAACCACAATCAACTCCCAGGAGACGAGACACTGTCTGCGGCCCGCAGAACAAATGGCACGGGCGTCCAGCGCGGTGGCAGCGGTTACGTGCTGCTGGCTAAGCCAGCTCTCGTTCGGATAGTCTGGCATGTCATGCTGAGAGCAAGCTCACTCACTACCTGCCCTCTTCAGTGCTGTGCGGTGATGTCTTCATTTAGTTTTTAAGGTGAAAGCCTTGTATGTCTCATCGTTCAGTCGACCTTCTTAGCTTCTTAGCCCTTGAGCGAAAACACGTCGACAACATGAAAACAACGACAAAAGTGCATCATCAGAGAGCGTGCTGTCTTCGGAGGTTCGCTATCACATTTATGTGACCACTCGGGCGAATTAAAGGCAATGAAATTAAGAAGGATGACAAAGCGAATTAAGAGGAATCAAAGTGAAGTAAGTCATGTGTCTGTCTTTAATGCATCAGCGCTTGAGCTTTCGCCTTCAAGTCGTGTTAGGGATGATATAACGGACCCGGTGACCTTTTACTTGTAGTTTCTGATGTCCGAGTCCCAGGGTTGCCTTTCTTCCACGAAGGAGGAAATGTAGAGTGCCCTGTTGTCTCCTGCACCAAAGAATTGTAGACAAATACGACATACTGCACAGACTGGTCCCAGTCTCGGTGATAAGTGGAGACATGCTTGGTAATCATAGTTTTCAGGGTCCGGTTGATTCTTTCAGAGTCTCTTGGTTTGTGGCCTGTATGCAGTGGTACAGGCGTAATTAGTGTTTGTCAACTGGAACGGCTCTTCCATCATCTCCGCTGTGAAACAACGTCCCTGATCTGTAATAGCTCTTTCCAGTGTCCCATTGAATCCGTGAAAGCTTTAGCTGCACAGGCCGCCATTGCTTCAGGTATAGCCACCGCTTCTACCGATTTGGCGTAGCAGTCGACCATCGGGACTATATACTTGTTTCCATCCTGGGACTCCGTCAGTGGGCCCACGAAGTCTATTCCAATTTGCCCTGCTTTGGTGTCATCTTGGCACACAAAAAAGATTTCGCGTTGCAGGGTCTTTGGTACCGCGAGCGCCAGTCGTTCCTCTGTGAAGCCCTTGGCTCTTTGGTACAGGATGTCGTCAATGAGAAAAAAGGGCCTCGCTTTTCTCTTCAACCTTTCCCCCCCCCCCCCCCCCCCCCCCAGTTTGCTCGGGCCTCTGGAGGCGCTTGATGATACGCTTGAGGAACGAATCCTTGTTTTGAAGTTTGCTGATCTCTTCTCTGGACACTAGCAGGAGTGGCAGCCCTTTGCCATCAGGTGCAGGATTCTCGACTCCTGGTCAATGCTCCAGGGTGAGGTTGGATTCTTGCAACAGCAAACCCCAGCGGTTCAATCGTCCATTCGAGTTCTTCTCTGTCATCAGCCTCCTTAGCTGGCTTGGTCTGTGACTACCGTCATCGGTTTGCCGATGATATATGGTTAGAACTGCTAAGCACTTTTTCTCTCCTGTGCTGTAGTTTATCTCTGCCTTGTTGAAGTGCCGACTTGCGTGTCCGATGACAGCTCCTCCTCGCCTTCTTTTTGAACGAGCACAGTGCCAATCCCAGAGCCGCAGGCTTCAATATGGATCTCGATGAGCAGGTCAGAATTGAATAATCGATGAACTGGATCGCTCGTCAGCCAGTTTTTTAGTATCTCAAAAGATTCCTGGCACGCTTTGTTCCACGTAAACATGACGTCCAACCTTGTAAGGTCATTCAGTGGCTGGGAGATGCACGCAAAGTCTCTGACGAACCTTCCGTAGTAACCGCAGAGATCCAGGAACTCCGAACTTGTTTGCGGTTCGTTAGGGTCTTAGTGTCCCGGACAGCGCGAATTTTATCTGAATTACAACAAATGGCCTGGCCGTTTGTGATGTGGCCAAGATACCGAATGCTGTTGAAAGCAATGTCGCACTTGCTTAGTTGAAGTTGGAACCCTGCATTATCAAGGGATTGGAAGATCTCTCGTAGGTCCTGCAGTTGGTCTTTTGCCATTCAGGAAAACGCAAAGATGTCGTCCACATAGGCCAGGCAGATTTTCCATAGCTGATTCGCTACCACCTTTTATTGTGCACTAGGACGTTGCAGAGTTGCTGCATAAGTAGAATTGTACAACATTGAACTTGTACCTAGAGTCCTGAACCAGCAGCGAGGGCAGTATTCTCCTTGCCGTCCTCCTTATTGGGAACTTGCCAGTGACTAAAAACCAAGTGTAGCGTAATGAGGAACCTGGGTCCCCTTAGCTTGTCAACGAGATTGTCCATCCGTGGAAAGGGGTGTACGTCTTTCATCGTTATGGCTTTCAGCTTGCAGAAGGCGATGCAGAACATCGAAATATCCATCACGTGTGCGCCAGCTCCACTGGTGACGATTATGCACTGGCCGAAGTTTGGATAACGCCTTTGGTCAGCATTTCTGAAAACTGATCGATCGTCAATCTTGCGCTCATATTGTCACGAATGACAATTGATCAGGTAATGAGAACTGAAGCAAACTAAACGTTTAATGGGGTGAACTTGTGCCCAAAACAAAATATAAAAAGGCTCGCATCGCCGGCGTCGATGGCGGCAACACACTGAATCGAACACTAAGACGAGACTGACTCTGGCTCGCCGCGCGGAGCCCCGTATGTAGATGCGTGGGCTTCTGGAACAATCGGCATAGAAGGTTCGGCACGTAGAGCATTCTTGCCTCGAATAAGCAACAGGGTTTTCGAATTTACCAGAACGCAACATCACAGAAACAACAAAAAGGTGTATTCCGCGGCCAGGCATCAAACCTCGGCTTTCATGTCGGAGGCAAACACGATAACCGTTGCGCCACGGATGCGCTGCCTACTTGGCCATGCAAGTGCGGCAATATGGAGAATTCCAGTAGGGGTTTTGCCAGACTGGACTGGTTTCCTCTGTGTTAATTTCATGTTCAGCGACGTTTGTGTGCCTGATGAGACCTGTTTTAGTGGGGAAGGGGTGACTGTATTTTGTCACCGGACCTTTAAATTGCAACTTTTCTTCAGACGACAACTCATGCCCCAGCTGAATGTGGCGAGTGAGGTCCAGGAGGGTGACCTGCTCAGTGGTGGTTCTTACAATTGTCGCCACTTTTTTGATGATCGTTCCCCTTAGGACAATCGGGGGCATGCAGTCGGTGTTGGCAATGCGAATGAAGCCCACCTCGTTCTTTATCAGTGTCAACGTCCAGGCCACACTGGGCAGGGGTTTGTTTGGGTTGGACCAGAGGTTCCACCATCGGCTGCTATGCGCGCTGCAATGAGGGCCTTGGTTTTCGGCAACAGGTGCAATTCCTCGAGGCACTGTACACTGGCAGTATCAGGCGAATTTGTTGGATGAAACAGCTCGGGGTGTAGAGCCAGTCCTTGGAGCTCGATCCTTTTCTTTGCAAAGTTCAACACTCCCTTGGTTCCCTAGCAGAACAGCAATCCACACACCTCATGCGGGAAGCCTGGGTGTACCACGCATTGTCTACACGCTCACTTTTGGTCCGATGTGAACGTTCAATTCCACTTCCCCATGTGAGTTCACCAGCCCCGTTTACAGCGCGCACGAGGAGTCCCGAGGGTCTCGGATCTACTATTTTCTTGGTGGGTGTGGCAAGAATCTGCTTAAAAGTTGTAGATCAACCTTCATATTCTCCAGACCATGCTTCCAGTTACTTTTTTCTCCTACATCACTTGAAGAAGCACCTACCGGGACACTGATTTCACGATGATGTGCTGAAAAAAGCATTTCAATAATTTCAGAGTTGTGAAATACCGTCTTTAGGAGTCTGAGAAATGGCTAAGAGGTGTGTTTAGTGCATTGATGATCATGAGAATTGGGCTTAAAAATAAAGGATGCTCTTGTTCTTTTTTTCTTGTGTTAGGTTAGAACT